AAAAAAAACCTATTCATTACACTTCCCTGAAACTAAATCTTACCTAATTTCTTTAGATTTGTCTTTTTCTCCTTCTTATTTGCAATTCAAATCATTAACGTTTAAAAATCTTTTTCATTGTCCTCATTTCCTTTTATCTTTTTTTGAGTCTCGAAACCGTCTCTGTCTGTCTCTCTAGCTTGCTCTAACTCGTCCTCATATAGAAGGGTTCATTTTCAGGATAAAAATACACCTCATCTTTGATGGACGGCGGTAGAGAGTCAATATAACACGAAACGTTGACATTTTCTGAAAAGGAAATAAAAACTTGTTGCTTTATCCCCCACACTTCAAATGAGAATAGCCTATTTCTTTTGATGTTTGTACAATTAAGTGCAAGACAACTATTTATACGTGTGCTCTAATCTCCTTCCGTCTGCCTCTGTACATCACGAGCTTATCTTCTTCGTTACGAGGCGGGCGATCTCTGTATAATCAGAGGATAGCTTATTGGATAGTAAGATATCTAGGATAAAACCCTTCTGACTGCATGACATACATGTTATCTCCATATATTGAACCAGTATTCGAAAGACAAAGCAATGTACTCCTCTGGCTTTGTTTACTTGCACTTTTGTCTGAGCGTGGTTGAAGAGACAATGAATAATTGCTCCTCGAGGTCTATGACTTCAACTCCCCTCTCCTAAAGAATACGCTCTGTTTCCTTGCATTCTTTGCGCATCATCTAGCACGGTATCTTTTATTTGAGATTGGTTCCCCGGTCCTTCCGCTCTTAATAACTCCTTCCCTCCACACTCGATACACCACAGATGAAATATGCATTTAATGGCCTAGATTTGCAAAGGTTATATACATTATTATTCTACAAGAATGTTATTATTAAAAATCAAATTTTATTTGCAGAGTATAGTCAGGCTTCATAAAGTGCAGCCACAGATTACTTGATGCTAAGAACAGAAAATTCAAGAAAACTAACTTTAAAAGATTAAGTATAGGAAATAAGTTTTTAGGTAAGAGTATTGTATACTAGTATATACGCTAAAACAAAAAAAATCAAACATTTTACTTAATGAAGTAGTCGACAATAAAACATATTAATTACAATGCAGAGAGGTCATTGATGTCAAGCTTGGACATGATCCGGCTTGAATTATCTTTAAAATACAATCTGTTCTCTGTAGATAAAGATATAGGCCTATATATATATATATATATGGATTATGATGTCGATAAAACTTGAAAGAATGAAACAATACTTCCTTACGTTAATTTAAGAAAAAAGCTTACATCGAAAACAGTCGCTTTTACAGTTTGATTTTACAGATGTATAATATAACATGAAAAACATGACATGTTCTTTGTGGCAGAATACCTGTGATCGCCGTCAGTGAAATTAAATTGAGAATTACTCGTACGTGTGAATACACGCATTCTAGGATAAAGACGGTACTGGCTGAGCGGAGGTGAACAACCAGGCTTGAACCTGTCGAGTTAAAAAAAAAAAATCATGTTTTTGCTTGCGAGACAGTGACAGACTGAGAAATAGCATTAAGCGGGTGTGAGAGATAGAGAGAGGGAGAAAGGGAGAGAGAGAGAGAGAGAGAGAGAGAGAAAGACAGTGAGAGAGAGGGAGAGAGAGAGAGAGAGGCGGTGACAGAGAGAGAGGAGAGAGAGGGAGAGAGAGAGAGAGAGGCGGTGACAGAGAGAGAGAGAGAGAAAGGCAGAGGGTAGAGAAAGAGGAGAGAGAGGGAGAAGGGAACAACACAAAAGAGAGAGAGAGAGAGGGGAGATATAATAGAGAGAGAGAGAGAGAGAGAGGGGGGAGGGGGAGGGGAGAGAAAGAGAGAGAGAGAGAGAGAGAGAGAGAGAGAGAAAGAGTGAGTAAAATACTGGGTAAATTGTAAAAATTCCCCTGTCATGAATGATTAACCATTCCATGTTTTCTTTTTCCTTGTGACAATATGGTTAATCAATCGGTAATTGAACCCTTAGTATCAAACATTTTCATTATTCATCTGCCTCTAGCATGTTCACAATAAATTATTTCTTCCAGGGAAAATCCCATTTTACTCTTTTTGTTCATTTGCAAAGCATCCATGCAGCTCAATCTTGATTTCACGTTTCACACGTTTTGCACTCATACAAGCCATTTCCCTGTTACTTTCTCCTTTCTTCTCCATTTCATTTTCTCCCCAGGTCTTTATCTCTGAAACACCAAACTCATTCTTACAAAAAACAGGATTTCAATTCAGAAGGCGAAGAAATTTGAAATAGAAGTCGAACCCTCTAGCCTACGATTCGTCGTAAGTCGATTCCTGTGCACTTGATGTAAGGAGTTCTTCGTAATTAGATCTTTAGGTGACACTCATGTACGATTCTTACAGGGGGAAGTGTATGTGATACGGGGGTTCATTGATTAGACCTTAAAGCTTTTATTCAAACATCTTGCATTGGGCATGAATCTTTCATCAAGCTTTATGTTTCATTGAAAGCAGTTCTGCAATTCATGTGAAAAATAAAATAAAAATTGTCGTCGTTTTTGTATTGGTTTGTACAGTCTATTCGTCACGCATGTGTTCGTGGAAAACATGACTAGTATGAAGCGAGTACAAATCATAAGATCTTGAAGAGAAAAAAACCCAGTATTTCTTCTATTTTTTTTATTTGTCTGGCGATGGATGACACATATTCTATAAATTGATAATTAGAATGGATATAGGAAGTGCATGGATCGAGTTTTTTGACGGCTCAGTGCTATCCGATGTCGTCAGCCATATCTCTACCACTCCCAGCCTACAGGATGCAAGCTGATGCAAGGAAGACAAGACTCGGTTTACCTGTTCCCATTTCATACACCATAATCACCACACACCAAGAAATCTGGATTACATCAACAAAGGGTAGCCCTAGATTTTAAAATCGATCAGAAGATTCTATCATATCCTGTCTCAAATGTTCTGAGAAAGGTTGCCAGCCATGATTAGATATATAGACCTGCAGTAACTTGTCCCAGTTATCTTGAAAAGCATGTTTAGGGATGTGTCCATACGAATGTCTGTTTCTAATTCAATTTAACCTTCATCATCAGTATCATGATCATCATTATCATCATCAACACCATCTCCATCATCACCATAATCCTCCTCCTCCCTCTCATCATCATCATCATCATGTGAAAACCCCGTATAGCCGAGATGGAGTTCATTCCGCTGGCTCTTTTCCATTCAGATATTAGGGTACCTTCTATCTCAATATAAAGATTGTATACCACCAAGATGTTGTGTGGAGGGGGGGGGCGGGGGGCGGGGGAGGGGGGGGGGGGGGGCTTCTGCCACTCTTAAGGCGGGGCATCGTCCAGCTGGTGACACCCGACTTGGTTTCTAGCTCTGAGCAATAGTGATTGTATTTGGTGATATCTTGCTATATTTTGGGGCTTTGGTCCTGTATTCTTGCCATGAGATATTCTGTACTCAAGGCTTTAACCTCTCTCAATCGGGATTTGCTGTCCATTATGTTGTATTTCATGCTACATCTCTTATCACGATGGAACCCCGTATGAACAGCGCTATGCAATCTCAATTCGCTGTCCTTATGATGTAGGATCACACGGCCGTGTTTCTCAGAATATCATGATATGTTTACCCAGTTTGAAAAGCAGATTGCTACGATACATACATACATCCATACATTGCTAGATACCACGAATCAGAATGGTATATTGCCACCGTATGGTGTCAAATCTCACACTACTTCTATGTTCTTAGCACGCCGAAATATTGAGATGATGTTTTTGCTGTCCATTACACCTGATATATTTCGACATGCTACAATATGCCGCGCGAGGTCCCACAAAGTATGGAAAGGAAATTCTGATCAGTATTAGTATCAGTTAGTATGGACACCCTCGACATACAACTCATTGAATGTAGATTGTACAGTAAACCGAACATCTTTGCTTTGATCTTACATGTATAACCTAAACTAATCATCGTGTGGATCTTTATTATCTTAACACCTGTTCATATAAACTGATTAGTGAATGCTTAGCGATTTCAATTCAATGACTTTCAAGCACCCTGTGCAGGTCGAAAGAAAACGTACAAATCATCGAGCTTATATTTTACCTTGCTAAATGTAGTACTGTTTCCATTAATTGAGAACTGGAATAAGAATCAAGAATATTCATGGTTCTGATTCGTTTTTATAGTGGCATCAATCTCATGATTTTGCATCAATGGTTAAAAATAGAACAATATTTTTTTTGGCGTTGGATAATTTGGATGTAATTGAAGGGATTGCTTAATACACGAATTTCTTTGAGATCGCGTACAGTGACACCGCTCATACTGTGTCATTGCCTGCTGCAATTAGTCATAGAAGATAGACGAAGCAAGAGCAGCAGTCAATACGGATGAAGTGTAATGCACTTTGCTCATTTACCTATTAAACTTGTAATTAAAAAGGCGCTTATGACGATGATCATGATCATGACGATGATTATTGACATTTTTATTGGTATCGTTCTTATCATTATTATTATTATTGATATTATCATAGTATTACTATTAATGTAATAAATGTTAATATTATTATTAGTAGTACTAGTAGCAGTAGTAGTAGTAGTAATAGTAGTAGTAGTAGTAGTAGTAGTAGTAGTAGTAGTAGTAGTAGTAGTAGAAGTAGTAGTAGTAGTAGTAGTAGTAGTAGTAGTAGTAGTAGTAGTAGTAATAGTAGTAATAGTAGTAGTAGTAGTAGCAGTAGTAGTAGTAGTAGTAGTAGTAGTAGTAGTAGTAGTAGCAGTAGTAGTAGTAGTAATAGTAGTAGTAGTAGTAGTAGTAGTAGTAGTAGTAGTAGTAGTAGAAGTAGTAGTAGAAGTAGTAGTAGTAGTAGTAGTAGTAATTTTACCAATAAATTAAAAGTAGCAGTAGTAGCAGCAATTTTCCACTTTTCCAAAATTTTCCAAAGGAGAACGGCAAAGCAAGACAATTAATACGTTATTATAAGGTGCTGAGAATCGAATACGTTTATTTCCACTTTTGTGGGCGGTGACATACGATAATGTTAATTTGGAGACATCTTTTAATAATGAATGTATACATATCAATCTTTTTACAACAATGTCAATAAACTCTCAAAAAGAACATACATGTACATGAATTATTGAATATATACGTAAACTAACTATGTACATATTTGTAAAACATTCCGATTCGTTTTGAAACGAACTGAAAATATCTTTCAAAATAATATTACATTCTGCTCAATCAAAGAGAGGTTAGAAATGAAAGTTGCTATGACTGTAACATCTTAAACTATTCTTATATTTTGTGCAAGAAGGTCTATACATGAATTAATCTTTTCTTACTGATTTATCGGGCATACAAGAACCCACATGTTCAAAGCACACGGATCAATTTGAGGTTATTCACACTAAAAGTTTTTTACTTTGAATATCTCTTTTAAAGGTATGGTATCCTACTGACACTTCTGCATAATTAGGTATACTGCCATCTGCTGCTCACGATGCCAGGGTGTGTCGATAGCCATCACCAACTGATGACAGGCGTGTGATTATGTTTGGGTAAAGGAACCGAAATCACTCTATCATTGTACGCCTTCACCGACAGATGGCGAAATTGAAAATACATTACAGCAGTGGTAGAGATGTCAGTAAAATACCTGTCTTTAAGACTCCTGGATTGGGTGGGTTTACTCCCGACCGCCCGACTGTTTAAACTATCCGGTACAGCGCAGAGAGGATCATAAAAGAATAGTATTCACCAACAATAACGATTATTTAATATGAACAGCTGCTTTATATATTGGCATACATTGAAGAAATTCATGGACGTTTCAATACACCGTTTTCTATACATCCCACATCATCCTTTAACAATGACCTTAAGTCGATTTGAGTTCTGACGATAACACTGAGAATTAATCATAAAAGAAGCAAGATATTATTTAGCTGAAAATTGAGAAATAATGAACTATTAGTTTGTGTCGACACGTCTTCACGACGCGCGGTACCATAATGTACAAATTTCAGTTATGCCTTTCAGTACATGTATTTGCGATGAAAAGCTTGCATTTCTTTAGTTTTGGTTTTTTTAAATATTTTTCTATTCGTCATAACCAATCTAGTTCATGATGAACCATTGAGCATGGTTGAGAGCTTCTGCCGCTTGAAATGGATTCCACTATCCCAGAACCATCAAACCTCAAACAATACGCAGGAGCGCCGAGGTATAGCACCTATAACCACATGAAGACTAACATTCGAACATCAAGTAAGCATAAAAGAGAGCAATTAACACCACTCAAAACAGTCCGATCCTTAGCATTGAGCTATACGTTATGTTGTATTCCCGAGTGGTGACTATTAAAATGAAGCAATTTTATTGAAATAGACGTAGTAGACATAATATTGGAAAACATGAACAAATTTCAACTTCAACAATTCTTTGGTAGAAGGTAAGTAAAAAATTATGCTTCATAACGCGATTAACAAAAATAATTTTTTAAGAGACATCACAGATAGTGAGAAATGAGTTCGATGCAGTAATTCCATGCTATTGGTAAAACAAAAAATACTTATTTAAGGAAGTAGGGAAATGTTGCTGTCAAAAAAATACAGAGCTGTTTCCTCTTACAAGGTGATCAATACTTGTCAGGGCTATTATCCTACAGGTTCTATACTGATATTATTGTAACAGTCATCAATAATTTGTATAATAATCATATCAAAGTGAAGCTCAAGATGTCCGAAAAAAAGCAGCAAAAAGTGTAAGTTAAGATTGTTCTTTCCTCATAATTGGAAAAGGAGTCTCCTTGAAATAAAAAGGATTACTCCGCAAGATGGCGCTAGTCAAATCGCTGATGCCAAAAGATCCATCTTCGATGATACAAGCAGTCATTCTGATGATCCATTATTCTTATTCGATTATCATTGATATGAATGCCTGAACCACTTTATACTGTGTTTCCTATAATTGTATAAGTAATTTCTTTTAAAAATTAGGTTTGGGTTCGGGCGAGTGGCAAATGAAACGACACTGCAAGTAGGGAGGGATTTGTTCCCGTATAAATCGGAATTGAGGGATACGATACTCTGAATCGAAAGGACGCCATCTTGTGCTCATGAACGCGTGTGAATGATTCTCTCGTACAGGTTTAGAAGACGATGGGAACGACGACAATGACGATGACTATAATAATGAGGATAATGATGCGATAACTAGTCTACGGATTCAACCCCGGACGAGTCTCTCCTTCCATACCGCCCATCCATGGTTTGATAATCACGCTGTTGATCTGCTGTGTATGATACAGGAAGTTGCTCTTGCAGCAATATACCCTAAAAACAAGAAAATAATAAGAATAAATAAACATAAAATAGAAATATGATTTGAATATATGATAATAACCATACACAAGTAGATACGAACATCTTGGATATCATGACGAAGATAATCATAAAAATCACAAAATATCATTTAGATAAATGAACAGAAAAGGCTTTATAATCACTTTTTTTCTTTTTTAGACATCAAGATGAAATGTAAATATCTGCAATTCCCTTTACACAATATGAATAACATATACAAATGTACATTGAATCCGCATGAAAATCTGGAGAAACGTAGTTATATGTTAAAGATTTTATTCTCGAATCCAAGAATGGACTACAAATAGCATTGCTATTGACCGAGATGCTACTATACGGAAAACGTGAGTGCAAGCATATTGAAAAATAATGTTAACAGTCGCTATTGATTATAATATTAGTATTATAAATAAATTGTGATGTTATGAAATAGTGGATTGCAAATTGATTTTGTTTCCACGTAGGCCTTATTGAAAATGTTAGAAATACGAATAATTTTGAATTATGCTGGATGTTTTAAAATATCACAATTACCGCGATTAGTATGGTTGAAAGATAACATAATACATGCCCCATAGAAATAGTGGCCATCTTAAATATGGGCTTTTCAAGTGGATTATCAAAACACAAATCACATTTACGACGTATCTTGGGAATTACGCCGATTTTAAGAAAACTCAAGGTTTTCTACAAAACTTTTCCTAAAACGCCCTCATCGGAGAACAGTTCTCTTGGACTGAACCATTTGTCATGAATAAAAGAAAAACCGAATTGTGTTCACAGAACCAACTTTGAGAAGGATATATTTCTTTGGGTAGAGTGATACTCCACCAGCAGTTTGTACCAGTTTACATGTAACACACTTATTCCATAAAGGTTCTCAGAAGAAGAAAACAAAATATTTGGAATGTTTTTTCAAGCACATTACTTAATAACTCATGATGGAAAATACGAATAAATATTAGATTTCATGACCTACTAATCCCAAACGTCATTTAAGATTTAAGAAATTAGAATGTTAGAGAACGTTACCATTTGAGAATAAGTTAAAATATAAATTGCATATTGGTTATATCGTACAATAGTTTGAAATATAACGAAAAGGGTGCTAAGTAACATGTGTATTAACACTGGATCATGGTTGAAATTAGACACTTTGAATTAGTTCTTTATTAGATGAAATGGTGATGTTAGAGAGAAGCATAAAGAAAAAAATTTGATCCTCTGTTTACCTTCGTATCATTTCATTCTTCTTCAAAGTCAAATTGTTTCGCTGCTGTACACTACGTTCTGTCGTAAGAGAAATGATGTCTGACTACATGTCGATTGGGTTGCACGTAAATATACTATCGTAATATTTGTATTTAATATGTTATTTAACTATTATTCTAATAATTACAGGCATTTCTATAGCGCCGTCTTTCTTGAAATTCTATTCCAAGGCGCATTCATTATTACCCCGGCTTTAGCCTAGCTGCCATTACAGCGCTCTAGCATTTCAAGGAATTAACTCCTGCCAGGTACCCATTTACCTCACCTGAGTCGAGTGTGGCAAATGAAGATTAATGCCTTGCCAAAGGACATTAGTGCCGTTCTACTTCCTTCTCAACCAATGACAATCTCATAATGCATTTTTTTTTTTGTCATACTGTACATCAACAACGTCTAAAACAAGAGTCTTATGTATAGCTGCCAAATCGGGGGGGGGGGGGGGTACACATACACACAGAGATGATCGTGATTTGTAAACATTTATTTGTATATGACACTATAAATGTCGTTTATCCTGAGGTCATCGATTAGCCATTATCTTGAGACAGTTTCTCTTAAGATTTTATCTTATTACCAGAACCAAAAATTACATATGTCTAAAAACTAACTTTCATGATAATGCAAGTGTTGAAAGAAAGATCTAATTACCTCATTTTCCTCCTTGCCCGGTGGATCTCTTAGGAATAATAGTAGAGGAGCGTACATAAAATCTATTATGGCTACTATTCTCACCAACCTGTAAAATGAGAAAATGGATATGAATTCATTTGTAAAAGCATAGGACACATTTCCTGGTGGTTGTGGTTGTTGCTATAAGGCCTTTTAAAAAAGATGTTGTATTGCTCTTTAGGTGCCAAAACATGGGTCGGTCGGTCGGAAATCTTGTTTTGTTTGAAACTCCGTCTTTTGGCTGATCTTTCTCAGGTTTGAATGCTTTAATATTTTTTCTCTCTAAAAAACGGTAAAAAAAGATTTTTTTTAAAAAAGTCGACCGTCGATTTCAAGAGTTTTGGGTCGGTCGCAAAGGGCAATACAACATCTTTTTTGTTAAAGGCCTTATCGTGGTTGTCATGAAGATGATGATGATATTGGAGACGAAGATGATACTACTCGGCGATATAATGTTAATGATAATGAGGAGGAAGATGAATAGAGTAGGGAGAACTACAAACAAATATAGATCATCGTCCATTATGGTATACTCAGGTGATTCAATGTCAATACAAATCATAGCATAGATAGCAAACGTCATTGTTCTAAATATCCAAGACATGATTATTCCAATCTTCAGTAACATATTGATCACTTAATTTATGCATTCCAACTCTTTGCTAAAGATAATGGAAAAAAGACAATATGACATGTTGAAGATCGTATATGGGAATTCTTACCAAGGGAATCCAATAGATTCAACAATCGATCCACTCACTGAAGGACCTGTAATTATGAAATAAAAACGATATCACACGAGATTATCATTAATTTATTTACATTTTTTTTATTCCCATTTCATTGTTTATATCAGATTATAAAGAAGATAACAGTTTGGCAGTATTCAGGTTTCTCCCTAATTGACTATGGTGCCATGGTTTTAGTCAGAGATTAAAGATCCTGTCTGACTAGTGAAACTCAAATTTCATTTCATTACTTTAAAATAAAGCAAGCACATACATATTGAAATGCTCATTGATGAATTCTTTCTAAATAATTATATCCTTAAAGTTGTGTACCACCCTTCCGTGGAGTTGGAGAAGTTGAAAGTCTGAATCTTAGAATGGCAGTCACCCTAAAACTAAACCTACATGTAATCTAAAATCCAATCTCAATCGTCACCTTAACTATATGAAACTACCCTGTTGAAAGAAATCATGAATAAATAAATAAAGAAATAAACTGTGACTAAACAGCTAAATAAAACCATACGGAATGTCGCCCGACCATGCATGTTCAGCACGTTCATATTTGCTCATCGGCCAGATTACTGGTTCTAAACAAGAGTGCCTGCACATGAGGTTCATCTCGGGACCATTCAAGCAACGGAATGGAGCAGGGCAAATTCAATGTTTGGGGTTGGTGCGGTCACGATACCATTGTTTAGCTCAAAATTGTTTGGAACCAGCAACCTTGATAACTTGGCTAGTATGACGTCATACTTCGGTACTCTATGATGTCACCCCTCTACCAAGCATCAATCTACATACGCCTCTCTCCACCCAGGTGGACATGAGTACTTTGTATGATTGTGAGTTAATACATACTGACCACTCTGCTATAACGAGAGAACATAATGTTGGGGCGACATCGGGGTCACATGAGTGCTTTATAAGGAGCTACTCGTAAACTTTCTTTACTGTAAATTTTGTATGAAGAGTCGGGGTGAATTCAGGGGGGGGGGGGTGCGGTATATTTTGAACTTACCTACAGCGAACCCCAGGCAGAAAGCTACGTCGGCTATGGCGTAGACACTACCATATACAGACACGTGACGTATGTCTACTAGATGGCCCATGATAGGCATCATGGAAGCATCTACCATGCCTGTTAGGAGAGAAAGAGAGATAGAGAGAGAGAGATGGGGCGAGAGAGAGAGAGAGAGAGAGACAGACAGAGAGAGAGACAGAGACAGAGACAGAGACAGAGACATAGACAGTGGGGGAGAGAGAGAGAGAGAGAGAGATAAGGGGAGAAGAAGATGAGGGGGTAGGGAGGATGAGTGAGGGGGAGGAAAGAGTGATAAACGCATCGAGTGTGAGAGGGAGAGAGAAATAAAATGAAAAAATGTCAAGCAGAGATTAAGGAGAGGTATGATGATCAGCTTTTTATATTACAATCAAACAGTTTTTAAATAATATATTCATTCATCATCGTCAAAAGAGATTCTTTGTCTCTCTTTTGAATATCCCTATACTCATTTTAAAAGAATTGGTAAGGTAATAGATTGCCTAAACGCTTTTGATTTAATATAAGTACATTACGACATTGCTGGTATATGAATGATTATTAACAAGTTCAACCAATATGTTATTTTATATTTCTCTTCATTACAAAGGATTCAGAAGGGATTGAGATTACCATAAATAGTATAAAGAAGTGACATTTTAACAAGATTTTATAAAGGAATACTCTCGTATTTGATATTTAAAAATCCGTTAATGGTATAATATTTGTCAGGAGTTAGCCCAGATGAACGATTTGATTGTAACATAGAATATGATCTTACCTACACCAAAGCCGACGAAGAAATTGGGTCCTATAAGATGGGGTACATTTTGCGACAATGGTATCTGGAGAAGGAGAAAAATCGGTAAAAATCTGTATATGCAAATCGCAACTTCCAATATACATGTATTAAGCATTTTTAATCTTTGAGGTTTTGGACTATTTGTGGTATATTTTGGTTTACTTCTGGTTTGTTTGTAAATGCATCGTCATCAGCATGCCGATGGTCATCAATTAGGCATTGTTTGCTATATAGAGGGCGCAAGAAGCTAAAGTAGAGCAGTGGGGCATTAAAATGAGAATGTTGTTCTTACCAGCATCATAGCGATGCCACCGATGATCATACCAATCATAGACACTAGCCACCTGAAAAACAAAGTCAATAATATTCAATAAAGTAAGATTAATCATTATGAAATACTCATATACAGTACAAGCAAAAAGGTTTGATAAATAAACAAATAGGGGGTATGTATTTCATCTCATTTCATCATGTTACATAAAAAGCGAGGTAGATAAGGGCATGTTTTTTAATATCAATGTTATGATATAATCAAATTGAATCGGAACAATACGGGAGCGCGTAATTGTTCTCCAGATAATTATGTAGCTGAGCCGAGTATAACGAGAGAAAGATAAAGAGGGGAGGGGCAACGGATGGATATAGATAGATATAGAGAGAGATAGAGAGAGAGGTGGTGAGAGAGAGAGAGAGAGAGAGAGAGAAGGAGAGAGAGAGAGAGAGAAGGGGGGAAAGAGAGAAAGAGGAGGCAACGGAGTGAAATACATATAAACAGAGAGAGAGAGAGAGGGTTGGAGGGAGGTAGTGTGTACAAGAGAGAGAGAGACAGAGAGAGAGAGACAGAGAGAGAGAGAAAGAGGGAGTGGAAGAGTAACAGAGGGTGATAGCCAAAAGAGAGATCTCAGTATAATGTATCCTCCACTAAATCCTGAGCATTGTTTGTCTCTTACCTCCCTATTCTATGTCCTAGCACTCCGAAGATGTTAGTACTGATGAGATACGACACACTGGCTGGTAGGAAAATAGCACCTGTCAACAACAAAAACACACATAGAAAATAACTGCGGTGTATTTGAAAGAGTGCATATTTGTTACATTAAAAAGAAAAGGATTTATTAAAGCAATTCTCGCACATTATACTGTAATAACATGTTCGTATAGACAAAGAATTTATAGTAAAACAAAATTACTAAACAAAATTCATTTGTTATTATGAAGATATAGATGATGTTTTTTTGAATGCAATTATACATTCCTTATTTTCTAAACATTAAAGAGCTCGTAGAAAAAATGAAATAGTAAAATAATGTTCTGCATTTAAAAGTGGCTAATTAATACTTGGCAAATGCAATAACCGTATTGAAGAAGAAAAAAAACCACCAGCAAACCTACAGCGCCTTAATTATCAATGACATTGAATGCTTATATTGCTCTGGAATTCACCAATACATTATTTCAGTATAAGGTTTGATGACAGAAAATGTAGATAGAGGTTTGTGTTGTAAACGTGATTATTTGTATAACGTTTTACATGTATATGATTCTTATGTTATAATACTTACCAAGTTGCCATTTTTCTGCTTCCATCTTATCTAACATGTAGAGAGGAAGGGACGGCTCGAGTAGGGCTATGCCCATGTTACCAAATGTTATACAACCTGTGGAGGGTATGGAGGGATAGGGACGAAGATAGTGTTTGTTATAATAAATATCAAATCGATGATGCAGTCCTTGTCATCAGGTTTACGAGGTAATAATACTAATAATATTTAGCTTTTATATAGCGCTTAATTCAAATGTCTCTAAGCGCTTTACAAATATACTATTACCCCGGTCTTTGGATTCAGTGCTTGCCCGCACACACTGTGTGCACAATCTCCACTCCCTGGGGAGTATTCCAACCAGGCGTGACTTGACGCTTAAAAATTGTTTGACCAACATTGACGGTCGCATCCTACCAGCTACCCATTTTAACACCTGAGTGGAGAGTAGCAATTACAGGTTAATATCTTGCCAAATTAAGGATATTAGTGTCGTGTCGGGATTCGAACCCTCGACCTTCGCATCTCTAGTCAATTATTTTTCTTATATAGAGGGTGATCTGTCACACCCAAACTGCAAGACACTCATTACATTTTGAATAATATAATTCATGTGGGCCGTGGTGCATCTTGACATGCTGATTTTTCAAGTATTATTTCTTCGCCGGTAGGTGGCGCCACATCTCTGATATCAATGGAATATACTGTCATCCTAATGCAGAGAGTGATGATACCTACCTGCTGCGATGAGTACATAGGGATCCTTTAGGAGTTTAAGGATCGGAGTCCCTTCCATGTTGTCCTCTTTGGTCCAGACAGGGTTCAGCAACAACAACTGAAGAACTAAAAAATCAAACATGCGATATCATAGTTGAGCCTATACCGTTTAATAATCCAACATTGGTAGTAAACTAATATAAAAGAAAGCAGACGAACATGCAAGCCGAGAAGCCTGTTCAATAAACCGAACCGGGCTGGCCAGAAGATACACACAAAACGGTATATGATTTTATGTAGACAGCCTGTCTGTAATCTCCGCAAAATGCGAACAATTTAACAGCATCGATTTTGTTTTCCTTCTCTTTTCTGCTTTTATTTATAATTGTTAATGCAACTTGAATTCGGCGTAAATATTCATAAATGAATGACACACGCCTTTAAAACTGAAAAAACAACAATAACAGATAAATCAAAAAAAGCATACTGGTATGAACGAAATTGGACAAAAACGAGAAAGTAATGAATTTTTGATGGGTGTAATCAATATGCGTATGGGCACTTAAAATTGGCCGAATCGACAGTGTCACTGTGACGAAGTGCCGGACAACTTTCAACACACAACATGGCTAAATGTCTTTTTTTAAATTTTATCAATCAGGACGTTTTTTTTTTCTATTAAGAGATCTTTAATGATATTCTACACATAACATATTTTGACGAATGGCCCAAGGGAGGAGGCACTTGAGAGAAAAATAAAAATTAATGATATTTTTGTACACGCCAAAGAGTTAACCGCGACTACGTTTGACCCAATTGCTAATTTGAGATTCACTTAGACTTAGTGATCTCAAATCTCAAACATTCATAACTTTCTTATTATTACATACAATTTGAATATGTTAGTAAACTGTCTATTGTATTTGAGTAGTAAATGTTACTTACGACCATCAAATAATGCTAGAATAGCAAGAATGAGGAATGGAGAAGTTTTCCCGACGAACTCGTACATAACCCCTCCGAACGGTGGCCCGACTGGAAGAAAAATGTTAACATAAAAGGAACAATATGTATTTTACATCTGACACATTGCTACTATAGAGTCATACTCTTGATAAAACTATAACAATCGTATAACTACATGTACTATGTGCTTATTGCATGAAGTATACTTCTAAAATATTGTAAAACTAAATGTGGTAAAGCAATGCAATCACTAAGTGTGACTGATTCATATCCCTCAATGAACAGGTTTTTTTTGTTTTGTTAGGTTGATGTTCTTCTTCTCATCATATATTTTCTTGCATCCTATCGTTTATTTCCCATCGTAAACCATGTTGTGCTCAATCAGCTGTATAATCATGTGTATACGTTTTCTCTAACTACCTGATATTTAGAAAAATGCACTCTAATTTCCTATTTTACCTGATATATTTTGGCCTATCACATTTTATAACGACATTGAAATGCTTTGAAATACTAAGAGAACTAGCACATCTTAATGTCAAGCCATTGGTTTACTTACTTAAAACTCCTAAAGCGAGACCAGCCAATGCGAAGCCCATAGCTGCTCCTCTCTCAGCGTCATTGGGAAAGCGCTGTGCTAGCATACCCATACCTTATCAAAGAGACAGAACAAATAATAAAATTTACCTCGGAATAATATTATTCAAAGTAAATCGATGATTGCAAATTTGATGAATGGTTCAGCGTAATTTGTAGAACTATTAAAAAAAAAACTACTTTTACCCATAGTAAAGTGCCCTTTGTGGTTTGTTACTATTTTTTTCTAACATGTTTTGTTGAATTCGTGTACAGTTATTTAGGAAAGAGGTGGGGCTTGATATGGTGATCTAATTAATGAAAACAAGAAGTCCCCTCTCTTTTTTTATGAATAAAAAGGATACCTTTCGTCACTGTCTTACTTATAAAGAACGAAACGTTGCTCTTTTGTATTAGGACACGAGGATGTAAACAAAATGTAAATTCATACACCACAGGTAACAATATAGGCTATAGATTTTTAGACTTATCTGTACAAGTGGGTGGGGAGGGGGGCGAAGGGAGGGGGCATCACAATCTTTATTTCTTACCTGCTACCGATGAACATGAAGACCCTACACCTTGGATCATACGGGCTACTAGGAGCAGTGCAAAACTCTCACCAAACGCAAACACTAAACAGAAGTATGGAGGCGAAAAAAAAATTATTGTAAAAGTTAATATATTTGTATTATTGTTTTATTTCCTTTATATATTCAATGATTTACAAGAATTGGTGTGCAATTAGTTTCGTTTAACTACCGGCACTATCACTTGACATTTCGAAATGAAGAATTACCTTTATAATCATGTTTACAAGCGAATTTGGAGTATATTATGCTTTTTGAAATAGTTCAAAACAATATCTCGGTACTCATATTTCTCAATGCTGATATTAGAAGACGAAGACGTTAATGAGAATGATTTCAAGTATATAAATATATACCATCGTTAATCATCGAATGTTTAATTCTTGAAGTGAATTTCGTACGGATTTAGAAAAAGAAATAGAAATGTATCTCACCTAACGTTGAAGCAAACATGATGAGGAATCCAGTGAACATAGGGAGAGAATATCCTATCCTGTAAGTATATATAATAAACATCTTTGTCAATGTCAACTTTATTAATGTATAACACCTAGGGGAGCACTGGCTATATCCATTTTTTAAGGAACAATGTTATCAGTTTTAAATAATTCGTCAAAGCACATTGCTGCCCGGAACATAACATAATTATGTGTTAATTAAGATTGGAAGTTGCATTGCTGATATTCACAGACAGAAAAGAGAAAACGTATTGCCTATGGAAGATAAGAAGTCAATGTCGAATCACAAAGCCCCTTTATAGAAGAGTTATGACGAACAAAGATTTAAAGCCATTTTGTTATTTTAAAAGATGGAAATCCATGTCGTAACTCTTTCCTAAAAAGTTAATGGACTCTAGCTAACCCCAATGTGGCGACCTCAAGGTTTGCTCACTGGTTAGACTGTATTTGTAAGGTAAATATTGAAGGCTACTTTAATTAATGTGGCTTTTGGACGTAGCGGCGGGTCTTCCTTTTCTTTAATTTCCCTTAATTTCACATAAGGCTGTCAGCTACAGTATTTCTTCCTTTTTGCACGGAACCAATAAATTCATAATTAAACAAACTTAAATGAAGCACAACCTTGGAAAGTGATAAATTGTAGCCTGCCTTACTGCAATCAATTCATTAGACTGTCAACACATTCGGGCGGTGCAATTAATATCACTGATATCGACACTAGAGGAGTTTCGCAAGGAAAGCATGGCTTTTTAGCCAAGATGGAGAAAAAACGATGAAAATTTCATTCAGAAAAGGGCTCGTCCAATCCTTTTGTTCCTGACCCATTCTCATAATTTTACATGACTCTTTTATCTAATTTTCTTATACCCCCCCCCCACCATTTTTCTCTCTCTCTCTCTTAATTATTTATTAAGTCATCAGGTTCTGTGTATAGACGTGTTCTTGTATCCACAGTATCATGGATGCACCCCATGATAACTCTCTCTATGATTCTCTTCTTCTTCCTCTTCTTCTTTTTTAAATTCTTCTTCTCCGCCTCCTCCTCCTTATCCTTCTTCTTCTTCTCCTTCTTCTTCTTCTGCTTCTTCTTCTTCTTCTCCTCCTTCTTCTTCTTCTTCTTCTTCTCCTCCTTCTTCTTCTTCTTCTTCTCCTCCTTCTTCTTCTTCTTCTTCTTCTTCTTCTCCTCCTTCTTCTTCTTCTCCTTCTTCTTCTTCTCCGCCTCCTCCTCCTTATCCTTCTTCTTCTCCTTCTTCTTCTTCTTCTTCTTCTTCTTCTTCTTCTTCTCCTCCTTCTTCTTCTTCTTCTTCTTCTTCTTCTCCGCCTCCTCCTCCTTATCCTTCTTCTTCTCCTTCTTCTTCTTCTTCTTCTTCTTCTTCTTCTTCTTCTCCTCCTCCTTCTTCTTCTTCTTCTTCTTCTTCTCCGCCTCCTCCTCCTTATCCTTCTTCTTCTCCTTCTTCTTCTTCTTCTTCTTCTTCTTCTTCTTCTTCTCCTCCTCCTTCTTCTTCTTCTTCTTCTTCTTCTCCTTCTTCTTCTTCTTCTTCTTCTTCTTCTGCTTCTTCTTCTTCTCTCTTCTCTTTATCTCTTTCAAAAGTATTCGCTTCCTTCTCACTTTCACTCACCTGTTAGTGAGAGGGCCTATCAAAGGATTGGTTATCAGCTGAACTATGGACTTCGACGCAAACAACAGCCCTATACGGACACTCTCGTGCCTAAGTATCTCGTTGTACTGTTTTTCTTCTGATGCGGCTGTCGTGTTGGCAGCATACATCGAACTATTCAAACAAACGACTGGAGCCGACGTTGTGTTGGCGCCTGTGGTATTTTGAGAAAAAAATCATTGTAAAATCTATGATCACAGACAGTTAGAAAAGATGAAAAAGATGGAAAAGATCAAAACATGAATAAATTTAACCACAAGCAGCATGATGAGGACGTAATATGCAATATTTCCGAAAATTGCTTAAGGAATTTCCAAAATTATACATGTACATAAACATCCAGTCATTAGGGTAATAAACCAAAACATAAAAATCGTGAAATCTTACAGATATGTTTGATGGTTTTGTGAGAAATAATTTCTTAGAATACCGACCTGATATTTCCCTTGGGACGGGGGTTGTGATGAGGCTACAATTGATAGGTATCGAGTGATTAGGATGACGCTCTAAACCTGGGTTCTCTTGATGGAAGATGTAGTCAGGGATAATTGGCACTGCAAAGATGATACGAAACAGGGTTTAGAGAAGAAAATTAAGTACATGAAGATTTGTTTTATTATAAATACACGAAGTTAGGAATGAATGACACTGCAAAGATGACAAGAAACAGGGTTTAGAGAAGAAAATCAAGTATTAATTCTGCTTCCTTAAGCAAGGATAGATACATGAAGGAAGTATTTTATAAATATATGAAGTCAGGAATAATTGGTACTGCAAAGATGATAAGAAACAGGGTTTAGAGAAGAAAATCAAGTATTCATTCTGCATGGATAGAAACATGAAGGAAGTATTTTATAAATACATGAATTTAGGAATAATTGGCACTGCAAAGATGACAAAGAAATAGGTTTTAGAGAATAAAATCAAGTGTTAATTCTGCTTCCTTAAGCACGGTTAGATAAATGTATTTTATTGTATTGTATTTAGTAAACTTCACTGATGTATATCAATATTCTGTTTATAAACATATAAATCAATTTACATTGCAATGTAACAAATCAATATTCTGTTCGTAAACATATGAAGAAAATGTTTTATAAATACACGAATTTAGGAATAATTGGCACTGTGCAGATTACAAGAAACACAAGTTTAGACCAAGTATCAATTGCCTGAATCGGTTTCAAATAGCGCAAAAAAAGATGCATGTAGACGTGTCTTACAGAGACACGATATTCTTAGTAGAAGTCATGAATATAAGGCTTTTAACAGATAACATGAACATGATGAAACAGATTTTGGGGAATACATTTCAGGAGCACAATTTGTTCCCGTTAGCCCAGACGAATACGTGTAGAAAATGTTATTATTTAGATACAAAATATTTCATGGAAGTGGGATATAATAGGCGCTGAAGATAACAGGGAACGTATTTACAAGAAGAAAAAAACAAGTGCAAAATGATTTCATAGCCACAGTACGATGCATATAGCGAAGGTTGTCAGTAAAGACATTAAATAGCTGAATTAATATTTAAACTGGAAGTACAAAATCATGATAACCTCCTCGATGTAAATCATTTCAAATCGAATGAGGTGTATTTCAGAATGCAATTGATGCTGTAGTTGGTTTCGTTTTCGTAAGTCGATGAAAACGGCGACACAATGCATTGGCAGTTAATATCTTTATTTCCTTTTGAGACTTGTATTACAAAACAGGGACGAGTTCCTCACCGATTACAGTTGTCAACATGTTATCTAGGAGTAGGGCGACGAAGACGATGAAGAGCACGAGTTTTCTGGAGGCTCGAAGATCTCGGATACATTCTGTTAAGGAGAACGACTGCCATCTACTACCGAATCCCGTCTTCACTTTCTCAATGTATAGAGACACACTCATGATGATGTCTATGGGTTGATCTGCACAAAAAGATAAATTCAACAAATATAATTTATATGATGAGAAAGGAAAGTTTGGGAGAAGGGGCTAGGGTTCGGGTTTTCATTGATAATATTATTATGTTCAAGTTATTATGTTACTTTGGACATTTTGATACATTAAAAACACTACACCCAATATTCGTGATAAGTAATAGTGTTAGATTTAGTGTTATGTGGAATAAAGATATACAATTTTGCCACTCTAATGTTTCTTTGTTTGCGTTTATGTTGTTATTATTTTGTTATTATTTTTTAGTTGATCCAAAATGTATTATCCAGATGGCCGCACATCTTTTTTGAGATCTTGATTAATTTTGTTGAGGTACAAATAAAGTATTGTATCGGGTACGAAAATAACTTTGGGTGCCTTTATTTTGCTCATCACACATCGAGCAAGAAATTGTTGGCAATTTGGCTGTATTAACCGATTTCGGTTTTATTGAATTGAATTGAATTGAATTTATTTTCTTCTGCAAAAGATACAAATAGAATTGCATTTCAACAATACAACATATACAAAATAAAACAATTGTGTGAACGTATACACATTATGATAATAATATAAATGTTGATATTATAACAAAATCCTCTCTCTCTCTCTCTCTCTCTCTCTCTCTCTCTCTCTCTCTCTTTCTCTCTCTCTCTCACATGGTGCAACCTGTACTGTATAAAATGTAATTGATAACGCAATATCTCAATTGTTTGTTATATATAGAAATATATTACTTTTTAAGCATGATTCGAAACTTAAAAGGTTCAATTGATCAGCATTTGTAAAACTCATATCAATGAGTAGAAACCTAGACTCACGAGTTGTCAACTAACATGACCCTTGAAAAAATAGACTACAGGTTTGCTTTTACAATCACACAGACATACAAACAAGAGACTTAAGAGCACGTCATCCTTCATTAGTGACTATCGTGGGTCTATTAATGATGGTTTTGAGACCATAAACGACTACCTTCGACACCTGTTACAGTCCCTTAAATATGAGCGCTACAGCTGCCACCAAATAAGGGCCATCTTCGCCCGATGTTTCATTAAAATTCTCGGGCTCTTTCTTGTTTTATTGATGTCGTGTTAATAAAAGCCCGATCGATAATTCTCTCTTCTACCCAAGCTGCCCGGGGCACGACCAATCTCTTCTTCTCTATACCTACTGCTTCTATTTCTCTACGTCATCCCCGCATCAGCAAGATGGTCTCAACTCCATTCCAGCCAAATGGGGAGCTTCATGTTCAACAGGTTCGGATAGAGTTTCAAGAAACCAACTCGAGGGCGATTTCTTTACCTTATTGAGCTGCTATACAAAACCTAATTCGAATGATTTCTAGGTCCTTGTAATGTTCACATATTCTCGTGATGTACGAGACTATTGAAATCGCCTTATATTTGTTTATTTGAGAGATTTTGCAGGCGTGCTATTCAATGTATCCGTGTTAATCTTACTTCATACATGTGGCAAAGCATAAGTATTTTGAGTTTTGTCATACCAAAACACAGAGGGCAACTTGACGTTAGAAATAGTGGACCGTAGTTATAACCCTTATCCCTTCCGGTTATACATGCAAGGTTAAATTCTTAAATCTTGGCATTTGTCGCCTTTTGCTCCGAAGCAATTTCAGACTTGCATCTCAATATTTTCTTGGGCTTCGTTAACATACCATAGTCTCGAACCCAGTATGCTAGTATTCGGTGGCGCGAAATTATACACGACTATGGTTTTGAGGTTTATACACCGAATATTCTTCGCATTATTAGATAACTATCTCCATGACATTTCTTTTCTTATTACTTGATGTCATTTCAAAAAAGTTGTTGAGCTTCAAATCAGTTTCCAGTCGTTGTAGGTACTGGCGTGGCGCACTGTCTATAGGAATGTGAGATATTGTTATGTATGACTATGAGCAATCCAATGAATATAACCGAAGATTGAATTGTCTTGTTGTTATTTTATATATTCAAATTACAAATTTTAATGAAGATTGTTACCAAGGTAACAGTAGTTCACTTTCACACAAAAGCAAAATTCGACTGTTGATAAGAACGACGGATATTCAGGTAGTACTTTTTTAAATCTTTGTTATTGTGTTTTTATACGGAAATAAATACTACTACCACTATCTTTGACTTTAACAATACATAATTTAACGTATTTCCCGTGGACTACTAAAACATGCATCTTTCAGAACTATATAGTTGTTTCGTATCTCTTTTTGTAGCGGGGTTGGGCCAAGGTTAAAGTCGAGGAATAAAAATGGAATGCAAAATTGCAAAGACCATGTACATTGTGGAGTCATTATCAAGGTATATGCAAGAAATTACCCCTTTTATCGATGACGTTATACTAAGCCTTCCAAAATAATGCTTCGGTCTATTTTTCAAAGCGGAGTTACAATTTCGATATTCAAAGAAAGAATGTGGGTAGATGATGACAGTGAAATTGAGATTGATAGAGAGTTGAAGTATATTGGTATGCGGTATGATTGCTTGCATGATAGAAGCGTCGCAACAGGTGGTTGGTGCGCCATGAGTATGCGATGAATGGTGGACAATGCAAGAAGCGAAGAGGAGAAGGGGAGAGAAGAGCAGAGAAAAGGGAAATGGAGGAGATGAGGATAGGAGAGGAAAGGAGAGAAGAGAAGCGAAACGAAGAGAAGAGAAGAGAAGAGAAAAGGAAGGAGAACAGAGGGGAGGAAACAGAGGGCGAGAGAGAGAAAGAGGGTGAGAGAGTGACAGTGGAGGGGGGGGGGGGGTGAAATAGAAAACACAAGGAAGAGGCAGGGAATAATGAAAAGAAAAAATGTAGTTTCGATAAAATCTCAAACAATACCCCTTAATCATGTTTATTCCAACCTAATGACTTTGACGCTTGTACTGTATATACGTCACTCAACAATAGCATCGTACAGGGACAGGCGATTAAATTTAGCATGTTTTAATGAGTCTGTTCTGTTTTTTAGTTAGGGTTATTTTGATACACTGGATGATTCACTAGAACCAAGTACGTACTTAATATTCCTAGAACGCTTGTGATTGATTACGTAATACAGAAGCAGACCCTAATCATTACACCGCGCTCGTTTCAGAGTAAACAGTTATAATTACTGTGCCTAAATTATTGGGGGCATTTAATCGTATTTAACCTTAAAAAGAAAATTCAATCCTTGAATACCAATTATATTTGCAAGTGATCTATACAACGTTTACGAGTAGTTAGTTCTTCATCGTAGATTTAACTTGTTATTTTTGTTTCATTTATCAAAATAATTTATCCCTCAAAAACAATAGGTTTAATCATTCGTCAAATACACTTTATTGAACTATGTACGTGGGTTCAATATCAACAGAAATCCCATGTCATTGCCATAATTTTTTAGTTGTTGTTTGTTTTATAAATAATTTTTATTAACACAAATTATTTTTTTAAATCTGATGTACTTCTCAAATGCATTCGCAAATGACAAGATTCGCTCCAAAAATGATTTGGGTAAAACGGGAACTTGCATGTCTGTTTGGTAAATCTAACCCAAACCTGGATGAAATAAACCTAAATCGGGGTAAATTTATCGAATGCTGGTTAACACATGCCAGTTTTTTGGTAAAACCCAAAATGGGTAATGTTACCTAGTGTATGACAAACAAATGTTATATATAAAGGGAAACTATGCATTTTGAAGATAATTTCTTCTTCTGAGTGAAAGTGAGTCCCGTTATGTTTTAGTTGAATTGAATTGAATAGAATTTATTCACCACTTTCATAAAAACATACAAAGGCAAAGAATACAATAGTTTCTTGCAAACATAGACAAACCAATAAAATGGAAAATACACTAAAGGATATTACGAGGTGGTTGGATCATCAAAAAAGTTACAAAAACTTATAGGTAGATGATCCTAAAAATGTACACACCAAAAAACAAAAAAGGGACAAAGAAAATACAATACTACAATTGTAATTACACACATAAAAATTACACACAGTTGAGACGAGCTGTTTGACCACTATAGTTGGATTATAGCAATTATTTCCTTTGGCTTTAGACAGACCTATTAAAAGAAACTGAAAGTGAGTTAACTTCTGGGAAAGATTAGTGTTATACACAGTCATGTTGAACACTAGAAATTCTGTATGGCCAAGCTTAAACAGTTTCTTTGTGCTTCTTAAAAGAGATTATCATTATAAGCTCAAGATAATCCACACTTATAGGCAATGAGTCACAAACCACTTTGGAAGGCTTAGTGTAAGTGATGTCATTATTCGAATGATTTGTATAAGATTTGTATAAGATGTGTAGAAGGTCAGCTCGCGTGTACTTCCGACAGTGACAAAGATGCCTACGCGAGTGTACATGTCACGTGTGACATCACGTGTGACATGTGTGATGAGACCGCGACATGAAAAAAAGATCTTTATATTCTTGAGCAGGTTTTCATAAAATGGCAAATTCACGATCGAAGGTCTTCGAATTTCAGCCTTTGAGCTGAGCTAGATCGTTTTTTATTGACCTGCATTCAATCTATACTGAAGGTGCCCCGGCCCATTGCTTACAAAACACGACAGGGAACGTGTAGATCCGTGAAATCCAAACTTTCCATTCTAGTTTGAGTGGATGCCGGCTGGTTGGTGAGGAGACGTATATCAAGCAGATGAAAAGAGGATGGAGATAGAGAGGGTGAGGGTGAGTGAGTGAGAGAGAGAGAAGAGAAGAGAGAGAGAGAGAGATGGAGGGGAGATAGAGAAAGAGAGAAAGAGAGAGAAAGTAATTGGGAGAGAGAGAGGGGGGACATGTAGATCCGTGAAATCCAAACTTTCCATTCTAGTTTGAGTGAATGCCAGCTGGTAAGAAGATGTATAAGCAGATGAAATGATGATGGAGAGAGAGAGAGAAAGAGAGAGAGAGAGAGAGAGAGAGAGAGAGAGAGAGAGAGTGTGTGTGAGAGAGATATTAAGAGGGCAAGATAGAGAGAGAGAG